AACAAGTACTCTCTAGGCATTACAACTCCTATTGCACAATGAAGTTCAGCATCACTACTGTACCACCCAACAGCACTTTTCTCAGTTTTAAAGGATCTAGAAGAAAATCAAAATTCCTGTAAAGTATAATGGTAACTTCAAACTCCACTAGCAAAGAAAGGAACACGCAATTCGTATGCCGAGCCACACGTTACAATTTAGCCCCTTCCTTCGCAGCTTTATGACGTGTTGCTGCAGGATCACCGTATTTTAAGGCCTGGGCTGCCCTCAATAGGTATGACTCTCGATCTTAATAGGCAGATTACCACCCTCAAAGCAGAGACTCTTGATGGCAAAGAAGGAAATGACCTGCTCTCCTGTGGTTTTGTAGGACTCAAAATTGTCCCACCAAAATAAACAGAATTTGACAGCCATTCAAAAACACAGGCAGCGACTATGGAAGGGCTTCCAAACTCACCAAACCTCCTTTTGCTCCCTCAGTGGTTTTTTCCTTTGTTTCATGCCTATATGCATGAAACATTTACCAGTAATGCTATTTTTCCCTTCTCACCAAGCCAAGCACATCCGCAGAATGTCGCTCAACTTGGGTTCTACAAGATGTACAAAATTCAAGTACAAAGGTGTAGAAAAAGAGCAAAATACTGTCCTGGCCAACAACAAATCCAGTCATCAATTCTTTCCACTAGAAAGCCGCCTTCTACCTTGAGTAGGCATTGTATTATTGCATATAATACCTCAGGAGCCAGCCAGAAGTAGTAACCGTTTTCTCAGTACAAACACACCAGCTGTCCAGCCATTACATCAGGCTCATTCTTCTCTTACATCATTTAAGGGGATGAAAGGAAATGAAATTCTATGTACCAACGGTCCAGCAACACTGAGCACGTTTACATGTAACGCTTTACTCCTTAACTGCTTTCCAGAAAGCAAAAGAAAGTTATCACATGGTAATTCCCTCGAGTCACTAAGCATCTGGAAAAGCCTGTGCTCTCCCCCATCAATAGCCTTACAATTAAGCACGTCATTTTGGCACACTCCCCACGCTCAGACTGTAGAGGTGAACATTTAAGGTACCATTCACCAGTTCCTAGTAGCACTAACTTGGAATCAGGCCTAGAAACTATGCAACATGGAGCAAGAAGGCAGTTTCTCCTCCCGCATTAACAATCAAGACGTAAAGCTCATTGAGCAGAGGCCCAAGTACCTCAGAAGTTCAAATTTGCAAGTTTAGCTCTTTGGAACAAAAAGTTCCAGTCTGACGGTTTTCCTCACACTGGAACAAGAAGGCCTTTACAAAGGTCAGGTTCAGGCACCTTCTGCCTTCCTTCAACACAAAACCATCCCTGTTACTGAGCAGATGAAGGCGGGCCAGAGAAGCTTGCACCTACAGCCAGCGGCTCCCAAACGTGAAACAGTTGATTCAGTATGAATTGCAAGAGCACAGAGCATTACCTCTGCGCTGCAGGAAAGTGGCAAAACATGCAAGCAAGCATGTACAGCCCTTTTGAGAGGAACCTCAGAATCCTCCGTTTCTCAACTAAAGCTCAGATCAACAAAACGTGAAATACCACATCTTCTCACTTCCTTGGTCATTCAGAAGTCTGACAGTGAGGCGTCAGTCCTTTCCATTTGCAAATTAATCTTTTCATTCATATTAGAATACCCAAGTGAGATGCCTCCCACACTAGCAATTTCCCCTCTTCGGGCCTATCTCTAAACACACATTTTCTGTAGAGTGCTTTTTCCAAGAAGAAAAGGAAACTTAGAGGTGAATACATGAATTTGTTGCACCTCAAATCCTTCTTCCCATTTGTTGCTTTGTTCCACTTAATTTAATTGGTTTTGCTGGCATATGAGAGTCACTGACACCCTCGAGCTGAGATATCCTTACGTGTCACCGTAATTGCAACAAATGCTTAAAGGTCATTTAGGAAAAGGTGCAGGGAACCGATCCAACACATAAGCCACCAAATTCGGCAGGTCTGGAACAAGAGATAATTGCAAATTGACACAAAACCCTCCCTGAAGATTTTATACTAATTTTTAGACTGAGCAAAGGACTATTGTCAACAACAAGCAACCTGAGGTAGACGGGAAAGTGTTAAGGTACATACAGCAGATTTCCAGAGGCCATGTGCTAAAGGGAACAAGCCTTGCAGGTTAAGTAGTGCTACGTTTAGTGTTACACTGCAAATTCCAGCGCAGTTCGATTTACCTGTCCTTTAAAGAAAACTGAAAATTCTTCTTTTTAGCAGCCAAAGGAAGAAAAGTAGATGAAGCACAGATGAAAGGAAGGGTGAGATTTTCACATTCTCTCTTTTCTAATGAAATTTATCTCACATCTTGCTTCCAATTTATTGAAGTACCAAGTTATCCAAAAAATATTTTATGGTCTTGAACATCTGTGATTTCTAGCTCGTTAGGTTCCTAGGAGGCAGGATGCTCTTCTTTGACAAAGAACAATACAAAAATATATCGGCTCTCAAGAGAGAGAAGATACTGCAAAGGTCTCTGCAATCCTCAGTATTGCACTTAACGCAAACAGGTAGAACAAAAGCAGACTGTTAAGATGAACCCACCTAGGCCATTTTTTCACCTTAATTATTCACAGCAGAGAGACATTCGACATTCTGACATGCACACTAAAGCCTGAATGGTTGAGCAGAGGGACTATAAACATTACATGAAAGTTACTTTTCTTTCAAACGGAGCCTGTCTTCAGCTGAATGCAGTAATATTGATAGACAATCTACAGCTTATCTCCTGATCACTGGAAACATTATTCATAGCATGGTTTATAGCCCTCCTTATGATGCGAAATGTAAAATTAACGTGTGCCTTCAGACTGAGACACTGCAAGAACCTCCTCTTCACTCAGCAGTTTCCCTTCAGAGAGGTTTTGTCCATTTTTTGGAAGAGTAATTCTAGACTTCCAGTTCACAACTTCACTAGAGGCTATAAATAAACAGCAGATCAATGAGCTCCTATTACAACGCCATAACTCAAACTTTTCATTAGACTTTAAAAGAAAAAAACCCATGAAATTCAATTCAATACATGTCTTTCTATTAGGGAGACAAGATATAAGTAATTTTGCACTTGTAAGATGCGCCATGAGCTAACACTTAGAGTCACCCTGTGAATTAACAAGAACCAACTTGACTAAACCATGCCACTTGGTTTGAAAGTGGTTTTATATTTAATCACCAGATTTAGTTGCCACAACGGATGGTAAGCAAAATGCTTTCAACACTTAAGAGCTTTAAGTTTGCACAGAATATTTCAGAATGACTGACAGAGATCATCTTTAATTGAATTTTCTTATCAGGAAATCAAATCTTTAAAGTAACACTAACTGGAAGTGAAACTATCAAAAAGTTACTTCTTTGGTGACAAGTTTTTCAGCACAGCACCTGAAAATCAACAATTTCTTTGAAAAAATAAAATGCAAAGTGAGCAGGGTGTTCGAGGGGAGGGCACCAAACCTCATGGCTGCCAGTTAACTGTCATTACACCTTGCACTTCTTGCTACCAAAAGCAAGCATGGTACAGAAGTTATCTTAGGAGATACACGGGCTTCGGAGAGCAAAGTTTATACCAAAGAAGAATAGCGACAAATGCTGAATATTCAACGCTAACTCTCTAGAACAACAGCTTCTAAGTATAGCATACTGCAAATCCTAGGCAGTTTCAGATTTTTCAGTGTCTTTCTGCATAACTAGTCATTTTAGAAGATGGAAAGCAAGTAATTTTGTCTGGGATGTGCACTCTGAAAAACCAGATACGAATCTGTTCCATATTCAAAGCCTATCTGAATTCATTCGGTACGCCATTTACTCATTTTACTTCCAAGACCATACCTGATCATGCATCAATGATGCATCCTAACTCCCGTTGTTTAGCATCTGCCAACATACTCATGCTCTCCGTCACCGGACAGCAGTTCATTCTCAAAGTCTGCCCGTTTAAAGGACGTTTGTAGCTCAGAGCCTGCACAGGTGAAAGGATCCTGGGGAGATGAGGCACCATACCTGAGCCCAGAGGCGAGAGATGCAATCCCTCCCTAACAGCAGCTCGCTGCTAGGGCATAAGCAACTCATGTTGGAGCAACTGCCAACAGATGCTACGAGTTCTGCCTGAGCTACGCTGACTCAGCCAGAGGAAAAACAAACAAGTTTGCAATCGGATCCACTATGGTTTTAGAAGCACTTGTATGAATACTGAAGAACATTTGAGCTACGGAGGTTAAGCCACTGCATTTTGCTTCACATTTGCAGGAACAAGGAGCACACACGATCAGCTAGACTGGATATTGTAACAGTTCTCTTATTTCTGACCTCTGGTCCCCAACTCCCAACAGCACTGCTGCTGTCAGAGCAAGAAAAACAAGCAATATGCTGTACTTACTACACGAGTCATGAGCAAACTTTCCTGGGCCTAACCTGGCTAAGAAGACAAGCAAGTGGTGGGAACTAATGCACCATGTTCGAGATGAGCAGTAAGGTCATAAATAAATTACACATTAAATGTGGAACATCTAGAATTCACCTAGCTCTTCATCATTTTAGTGAAGTAACAGAAGGTTGGAATTAAGCCCTTTAGAATGAAGCCAGGAGACTATAGGTTCACAAATCTTAAAGACAGAAGATTATTCACACTGCTCAACTTCAGGCACTGAAGCTGTTCCACCCTGCCCTGAAAAACAACGGGCTTCTCTCCACTGTTCATAGAAGGAACTTGGGCTTTGGTACTTTTGAGTCACAACATCCCATCCCTGAAGTTCAGTAACACGTTGTGCCGTGAAGCACGAGAGGCGCATGCTTCATCTGTAGAGATTAACATATTGGGTTTCCTTAAAGCGATACATGTAAGTGCTGTAAGTTTAGTATTTAATGATTCGATTCTTCTACAGCCTGCATCACTAAAAGCATTGCTCCAACCAGCACTAGGTTCCCAAAACCAGTTCCTAATACTAAAATGGTCAAGTTGGGTACTGCCTCTGAACACCAGCGAGGACAAGGAATAAGGAGATGACATTTCTCACACATAGTTAAAGCATAAATTGAAGGGGACACACGCAAAAATCTGCACCATCATTGCCATGCTGAACTCCCCCATCTGCCAATAACAGGCTTTTACCATCAGCATGGGGTGCCATGACTAACACAGTTAGTTGAAGTGAGATTAAAACACAAGATAAATTGCCATTTAAAGACATTAAGTGGTGCTAAAAAGATACCTTTGCTGCCTGCTTCAAGTGCATGATCATTTCACATGCAAATGCAACTGGAATATTTCACCCGAACTTACCTCATCTGAAAAGCTGACAGCAGTTACTGCTCTTGCCAACCTACCTTCACCATTTAACAGAACGCCTGACAGTCCGATTTCCCCCCATTTATCCCTGTCTTAAAAACCCCAAAGGAAAAGCCAGTTGAGCAGCCTGTCATGAACTACTCAAATTACTCAGGATTCTCTTGTCTCCAAGTCGAGTTATCAGCAGGCTAACGATACACTGCGTTTCAAGCAGTGTCACTTCAGCTGCCCCACCACAGTCCCTCGGTTCGGGTACCAGCAGTTTCCCTCACTCTGCTGCTCCAGGCACAGCACTCGCACCGAGCCTCGGCCTGGCAGAGCAAGCCTTTATTCTCTAATCCTGCTCTTGGTTAGCTGTCAGATCTAGAAGGAGCCTGACTACCTCTGCCACGCCTGTGTCACAGTAATGCAGAGCTGTTCCACGCCAATTAAATTCAAGGAAAAAAAAGCAATTGCATTGAGTGAAATAACTGGAGTTCCAAACCACATGGAAGCAAGGGGAAAAAAAACGCTTATTGTTTCCCCAGCGCTGAAGAGCAAGGCAAGCAAAACCTCAAGCAATCCATCTTTTGATAAAGCAAAGCTAAATAAGTAGGCACTTGAACTGCACTGTGCAGCAGTCAGGGGACTCTGCTCTCTCTTCTCCCCACACAAGCTATGAAACAGAACAGCTCCTGACACACATCAAAAGCCAGATCTATACAGAGACAGATCTAGCTTCCCACATACAGATGATGTGTCATCTCCTTAGCTCAAGCTATCTGATGTCCATTCCAGGGGGAGCACTACTTTGGCAAATAAGAGCCAAGGACAACGTCTCCCAGAGGCTTGTTTCAGTAAGAATTAAACAAGAAGTTATTCCCTGCAGAGGTGTCAATGTGAATCTGAAAATGTCACTAACTTAAAGAGATCCTTTTTATTGACACCTCTGAAAACCTGAAACTAGATGTAATTGCAACCTCTCTCTCAGTCTTAAGTCTAAAGGTTCACAAACTGTGAAAAGCAGGCACAGAAATATTCATGCCATTAAAAAAAAACCCCACACCAAAACCACAAAAAACCACAACCCAAACAAGTCTAGAAGACCAGATGCTTAAGTTGAAAATGAGAAAAAGCCAGCTTAGGCATCCAGGAAAACTTCCACTACCAGTGAGGTTTCTGCTGGAGAAAGACCAGAGTTCTACACTTTTATTACCAGATTTTCAAGACATCAGAACACACATGAAATAAGACCTGTCTCCCCTGCAGAAGGTAAATTCGGTAACGAAGCCTTCCACGCTGTAATCTCTACTTAGGTATAGCTGGTTTGTAACACTCAGAATGCTTCAAATGTATCACAAATAGCGAGGAAAGAAGCGTATCACCAAACTGAGAAGCAGGGTGGAGTGCAATACACACCAATGACCCAAAATTAGGTTGCACATGACCACACATTTAGTCTCCATCTCCACACACTCAGAAATTCCATGTTATTTACCGGAGTCCTCCACACAGGTGGACAATACTAGCTCTGGATTTGTCATAGTAGGTTAGTTAAATGTGTGTTTCTGCTATAGAAGGTTCCCACAGCATGAGACAGAGAGGAAGCAGGATAAAATTAATATAACATGCATGAGAGTCAAAACCCATATCCTTCAGAAGAAAAAGGGTGAAAACTAGTTTTGTTTTACAGAAGATACACTGCAGGGAGAGGGGACAGGAGCTTTTTGTCAGCCTTGCTAGCCTGTCTTCTACAGCAGGTAGACTTAAGGAACCTGTCAGAATGTGCTTGATAAACCTTGTTCCCCTACCACTTTCACACTGTTAGCATCATCACTACTCAGCAAGAAAACTGACAGAAGTTACAGGTACACACACCAAGCTTTTCAGACCTAAAAGGTTAAGTTCAAAATTAAATTAGTTGTTTGTATCTCAACATCTATGTTCCAATGTACTCGGATGTACTGTTGCATTTCATCTTTCTCTAAGGCAATGCCAAACTGGAAATACAGGCTTTGGTGAAATCATAATTAATAATCAGATCAAGAATTCCTAATTAGTATTTTTACCTCTCCACGCTTTATGCTTAACATACCTAATTAGCTCATCAAGTTACACAGTTGTTACACGAACACTGAAGTTTTTCAGAACTTCAGCCCTTCAGTGCTTCACTATAAAGGTCCTGTGCTCTACTGGAAAGGCAGCATCACCCACCAGCAAGTTCTGTGGCAGAACACACCAGGACTTCAGGGTTTCTGGAGCTTTATTAGAGAACTAGTCAACAAACAACGAAAGAAAAACCTGACTTGAAATGCTCTTCTCAGCAACTGACGATAGAGACAGCAGCGAGTAATTTTCAACTTCACTGAACCAACCAGTCCAGAAGCTTCTGCTACTCCAGGAGCTCAAAAAAAGTTGTATTTGCACCCCATAAAATGGCAACAGAAAAACAACGGCGGTGGGGGGAAGGACTAGAGCAAAGAACAACAACGCAGAAGAACGGTTGGGCATGCACTTTGCAAAGCAACTGCCAGTTAAGTACTCGAACGAGTGCAAGCCTAAATTACAGTTCACAGTGAGTATTAAGCAGTTCAAATAAGTTAAAATATACTGTTCAAGTGGATTACTCATGTGACATTCAATCATGTAAGGTGAAGCTACTCAAGTGCAACCAAAACATACAGAAAAACTAGCTCAGATCTTGCACATCAGCCCCGTACTGCTCCATCGTTTACCAACTGCAGTCTTACCACATAAAAATGTTTCTCCCCCCTTAAAGAAATCTACTGTCCTGAATCCTCTCTCCACAGCCACTATTTCTTCCTAGCAGTAGTACATTAATTAATCTTCACATACCAGTTGTGAACCATCAGCTTCTGCACAGCCAGTAGCGCATTGTAACGAACTTGTTGGTCTTCATGATGCATGTGGTTCATTACCAGCTGTTTACCACCAAGTTGTTCAATCACTCTGAAAGAGAGGAGGGGAGCAGGTTTTTTGACATTACTTCCGCTTCTGGGTAGCTATCCTATCCAGCCACTTCATGTTCAAGGCATTAAGAGGTAAAGTTTAAGTCATATAATATTTATTTTATTAGAAGTATTTACTTCCTAACACATAGACCTTATTTGACATGCTACAACTGCAGATCTCTCATACTACCTACTGAAACACTACATTTTTTTTTTTAAAGAGTTTACAACATCAAAAAGCGTGTGTACTGGACTCCTGTTTGCAACCCACTACCTACTTCCATAAATTTTAAAATAAACAACCGCCAAGGAAGGAGGCCTTTTCAGAGAGGGTTATTTACTTGACTCAGCTTGCTAAAGAACTCAATATTGGCTTGAGAGGGTTGGCAGGGTACAGCACTTTCCATTATTATTCAGGAGGAGTTAGTGCCCTCCCCTTCATAAACTGCTGATAACCAGGTCACTCCATTTTTTGCAAGAATAAAGCCCCAAGCCAGTCCAGCACTGCTTAACTCAGAAAAAAATGCTTGTAATCACACCAACACCTATTAAACCACCCACCTGGTACTCCTCATAGTGCTTTTTGCCATTCGAACTGGCCTAGAGCCACAGCTAGTCTGGCACAAGACGCAGAACTGGCCGCTAAGTTACCATTTCCAGAAGAATGAGACGCTTGAGCTGCATCTTTCACTACAAACTTCACTACAGTAGTCAAGCACAGCTTTTTAATAGCTATACCAAATCCCACACGAAATACTGATGAAAGCTTGTATCGCGTCATGAATATATCATTTCTTAAAAAAAAATAAAATAAAATGGAAGGCAACACACTTAAAACCCAAAAAAGTCTCACCATCCAGATGACTCTCTCCATGCAGCATTTTGGTCTGTCATAACAAAGAAAGTTTGGAGAGAATTTGCAAGGAATATATAAACTGATTACTCACTGACTTGCATATATTTCCACACTGATTCTCTCACAGGCCACTGAGTAGTTAAATATAACATCCTGGGAAGAGGCAATCGTTTGCATTACTCTTAACCTGATGCCATCCTGCCATTCCAAGCTTGCACTATCTATCTACTTGAATTGCTGTTCTTTTCAAGGCCAAGTTAATGCATTACTGCTGCACAACACAACATCATTTTGTGAACTGCAAAACGGGTATAAAGACATACCATGGAGATGAAAAAGAGAATTTCCCATTTCACTTTATAATTCAGTCAAAACCGTGCTGGAGAGCACGGGGAATATTATTTCCCAACAATATTAAAACATTCAAGGACGTTTCACACAACAGGAATGCATTCAGAAAAGCACAATTGTTTTCAGCTGGAAAATCCTCGCCAAGAATTCAAGAATTTCTCAGTAACCTAACAGGTTCAAAAAAACCTTTACGTGTCCCTTCAGCTGCCTCACATTTTTAATCCTGAGTTAAGTATAAAACCGCCGCACACAAAGACAAGACTGAGAACACAAACCAGAAGTTTTTCCACAATACAGGACTGACTCAAACACTGAATTTTCAGGAATTGAAAGGAGGTAAAAAAAAGGCATTAAATTCAAAAGCTTCCTATACACTAGGAGCATGCAAAAATCACAATGAAAAGTTAAAATCCTATAGTCACAAATGGTAATAGCGTATTTCAGATGACAGTATCTCACTAAAATTATGGCACAACGCTGCCTACTGGTATAAATCACTTCCCAGCCACGTGGTTTAGACCAAAAGGTAAGCAACCGTGAGGAAAGTTCACAGTAAATGTCATTCCTTGAAGTTCCAAACCTGCTCTAAACACTACTTTTAGTTCTGTTTTCCTTCTGCTCAACTCCTGCTGACTTTACAGCCGTAACAGCGCCCAGTGGGCCAGCTGCAGTATCTTCTGCAGGGGCTGTTCCCCATAACAACAGTGCACGAAGCCACGACACTGGCAATTCAAACAAGTTTCTGGATGCCGAAGAGCCAGATTTTAACGTGACCCATTTAAAGGGAGGAACAGGAAACAGAAGATGAAGACAAATGAGGGCAGTTTAGATTGTTATAGCAGACAATATTAACATAAAATCCACACTACATATCTAAAAACAGACCAAGGCGAAAAAGGGAATGCAATTGAGCTGTTTCTCTCGAGTCAAGAGCTAAAGAAGGGAATGGCTGTAGGTGTCAATCCCTTGTACGTGCAAAACATAAAATCCACGTTCATGGCATTCAAGTGGATCTCACATAGCAGTAACCCTTGGGCCCCTTGGAAGTTGCACTGGAGGCTGATGTTTAGCCTGCGTTTCTTTTCGGTGACAGAAAACACCAATGTCAGACCATTTCTGCTGTTGTCACAACATGCACGTCGGTGAGCCTTATTCGAAGCCTACAGCACTATTGCCTTGAGAACTTGGTCCACACCGTGCAATTTTAAACACACGTTAAAATTATTTAAGCTGCAACATTAGAGAACAGCCAAGCAAAAATGTAGTATTTAGTTTAACAAACATTTTCTTTTGTCAGACAAAGGGGAAGTTTAGCCAGAACTGTAACTCTAGGTCCCCGCTACGCACCGCAGGTAAACTCAAGAAGGTTTAGGTTCTAGTTCGCCTCTGCAACCTTTGAAGGCTGAAGGATGATCCTGTCAAGGAGCTGAGGATAAACACTTAAAGGAAACAAAAGCATGCAAGACATTTGAATTCTCTTATTCTTCTAAACCAACGAAGAGCATCCATTCTCAAAGTGAGTCACGCAATGAGAGTGCAAAATGCCAACCAGGCGTGGGAGCAGTAAACGACTGTATATCAAAACCCATCGCAGTAAGAAATGGACTATTATGTGGGAACGGACACACAGTCCTTGCGTATTTTAAGCTTTTAGTCCTGAAATTGCTAGTCATACTTAGTAAGAATACACCGGGTTACAAAAGAAATGCTGTAAAAGAAAGAGATTGAGGCATTTCAGTTTGTCCATCAGAACAGAAAGCTAAATAAGCCAAGTCAGTAAGCAGAAAGCAGCTAAAGTATTAGAATTTGATATAAAGAACGTGGGTTAGAATAGTATCTAGGACACTTATTTGCTCCTTTTTGAAGGCTGATGCACTCCTGAGTATGTTTAACAGCTGGGAGCTGAGCAGAGCTGTGCTCCCACCAGCAGTACATCTTCCAACCACAGAGAGGTACAGGTCCTGTTCACCTCCCCCCCAACTTCACAGCTTCAGTCCAGCAGCTGCATATCCACACTAGCCCAAGCATTATGCCACATCTGGGTGCAAGCTGTTTAAAGATTACGGCAAATGCTTAATCAAATGGTTTCAGACAAAGGGCAGCTGAAAGCAGGAGCAACCAGTACCAGTCCTTCCGTTTTGTCACTGGCAGGCAGCAGTGTGAGCTTCCACCTTACTGCAGGATATCTCTCTCACCTCCCCTCCAAATCCCAGTTGTCATAAATCTCTTTTGGAAGACCCAGGAGCTAATTAGCAAATAGACAGCACTGCTCAGTACAAGTGGTACGCACTGAACACCTCTGATCTTTCTTAGTGGACCTAGAAAACAGTTAATTTGTTCCAATAATCTAAAAATATCTTCAGTTCAAGTCGCTTACAAGTCTACAAGGGCTGTGAGTCTTTCTAGAGTGAACAAACCTTTCTATCATATCCATGGCATGAAGTTTCAGTCTCTTGTTTGTGATTTGACTAGTGTCAAGATAGCAGTCTGCACAAGAAGTGTTCATGAAATTCCCAACAAGCCCAGAAGACCATTCTCACTTAAACCCGACGCAGAAATCAGAGACAGACCCCTTCTTTGCTACAAAGTCCCTTTGGGTGATTGATGAGCATGATTCCTGCAAAAAACAAAGGCCCCCTTCTGCTTCAGTGGTCTCTTTACCTCAGAAACACAATTATTCAAAAATCTCTGCTCACAGGTTTTTAAAACAAAACAAAGCAAGAAAATACAGCAATGTCTGCCTGTATATATTTTGACAGGAACTCAGGTTTACAGTAAACATTACAACTTCCACCAAAATATGTATTTGTGTAGCTAAAAGAAAACATGCTAAAAGGGAAGGGTGATAACTCAATCTGTGCTAACATCATCGAAATTACAATAGCAATTGTTTGTGGGAAAAAAATCTTGTCTCGTTAGCCTTAAGTCACAAAATCGACTTAATCATTGTTGAATAGCTAAATTACAATAGCAATTGTTTGTGGGAAAAAATCTTGTCTTGTTAGCCTTAAGTCACAAAATCAACTTAATCATTGTTGAATAGCCGTGATAGAGGGTAAAAATGATATGTTTATTAAATTCTTGGTAGCTCTTCTAGTTTCTTCTGTTGCACATCTTCTGCTTTAGTCTAAACAACTTACTCAAGACTTCTTTAGACATAGGTTCCCTTCACTGCTAAGAGACACTGAAATATATGAAGTCCAAGATCCAGTTTGTATTTTCTCATCTGATCTAGTCTGTGTTTTCTCACTTTCCCAGTGAACTTAAGGATAACCTGCAATCCCTGTGTAGCATATTTTAATACAAATAAGCAAAAAAGCCACAGGCAAAGTACATACTCTAGCAAGTCTCTTGAGAACAACATATTGGTATTTTTCTTACCGTTTCCCACGGGGATAGTGTCGTACATATTCCCCCACATCGTGAGCAGCTACAGCCAGCACTTGTGGGTCATCAGAAACCTCCAGAAGTTTTGTCAGGATTCTAGGAAAGGATTTGAAACAATCAAGTCCCAGGTTTTGTTTCGGGTTTTCTTCGTTGTTGTTTTTTTAAATCATTGATAACTCAAAATAACAAAGCCTGTAACCATAAAAATGCTTTACAAGTCACCCAAACAGCAAAGCAAGAATAGAACTTTTTCCAAATGTGCAGCTGCACTTAAAACAATGGAGATCCTGCCCAAATTAATGGAATTATTAAAAGCAACCACTAGAGTGAGTTTAGTGAGCCGCATCTACAAGTATCTATAACTGAGGTTTACAAAATATCTTTTTTTGACACATTACTTCAAGACCAACAGAGTTGAGTTCAAGATGAGCTGTACTTGCCACACATATAAATATTTATGGACTGGGACAGGGATGGGACACAAACACAAAGCCAACAGGTGCTGCTGCTTCGGTTACACAACAGACCCTAGTCATGCCTGCATGCTGTCCCCAGCTCCTGCTGCACTCGGGATCCTGCACTGTGGATTCCACAAGTGACAAGGCCACGTTGCTCGTGACGCAGCAAGGCGGGTATGACAAGCCTGCTATCTCTCAGCCTTTCCCCAACTCTATTCCTCCCCTCACTTTACAGCAGTAGCCCTGCTCAATGCAGAACAGAAGGACAAAAAGGGCAGAATTTCACGCAGAAGACTGTTAGACAGAGTCATGGAAAAACTAAAAGGCATCCTAGCAGTTGAGAACAAAGCAGCACACCGAGCTCTCCGCTCTGTGCACCTGTGAACTTCTCTCGGTTCAAGACCGTCAACTTTATCTCAAAAACACCACTCGTTCAGTCAACTGTTGTGGTCTAAAAAGCAGTTCTGTCCTAACTCAGACTGCGATGATGGAAGCTGTACCTTGTAATTGACTCCAAGTTCATATATTCGTTGTTCCCTTAGCACGAACAGAAACGCAGAGCTGCTTCTCAACCATTTGTACTGTCTGCATTTCTGAACGAAGTAGTTTAACCAGCTTTAGTGGAAAACAGCTACCTGTAACAGTGTTCTCTAGCCAGTAATGAGGAGGGGGGGAATACACAGATATGAACGTTAGGCACTAATAATAAGTTTGAAAGGTTAAGCATACAGATCACTGCAAAATTAGCTTCATCTGCGTTTAGTGAGTTGACAAATGTGTTCTCATCACAGAAAGTAAGTAACAAGTTGAAATAGCTCAGCAGGTTAAAAATTTACTTGGAATTAAAAGAAGAACATTCTGGTAAAACTCAATTTTCACAGCCACGGCCTCCCTAGAGGCCAGAAAATGACAGATGAAGCACTTTTCATTTCAAAAAGAGCTCCTAATTTGGACAACAATTAGGAGCAGAAATTTGAACCATAAGACACTGAAGATCCATACAATATTGTTGAACAAAACACAAGTCCAGTAACACTTGCTTGAGAAGTCAATAATGACAGAAGACGGGAAACAAAAAAAAAGTGAGTTTAACAGTAAGCTTAAGTACTTTAGAGTTAGAAAACAAGTAAGCTGTCAGATAAGGGCAAATAAAACTACGTGTCTTGAAGCAAAGAAAGGACTGTCTGTCAGATGCCTTACAATGAAAAAGGTAAGTTCTGAGCTGCATGAATCTCCCCAACATTGTGGGGTGGGGGGTGGTTGGTTTTTGTGGGGATTTTTTTGGTTTGTCTTTGGGAGGGTGGGGGGAGGTTGGGGGTTTTTAAAGGAACTATTGCAGATCACTGTCTTTGCAGCAGCACAAGCACACGAAACTTACCTAACAGTCCCAGGACCTGGAAAGATGAATACAGCAAAACATCGCAATTGCTACAGGAAAGGCTAAGCCTCAGCATCAACTTCATGTTGCAGCTGGCGGCATCTGAAATGTTTAAGTCTGTATTCCTACACGCTTAGCAATGTGCCCTCAGGGAGGAATTTACCAGACTTGTTTTGGTACGTTTCAGAGCAGACTGAAATGCACATAAAGCTCAGGATCAGCTGGCTCTTCCCGTGCCTTCTAACATCTCCCATGCTCCACTCAACCTCCCGATTTCTGTTAGGTCTGGCACTTATTAGCAAACACTGAGCAGCAAGAACACCACGTATTATCAGTTAATGACAACGCAGTTAAATAACTAAAAGCTCCTACAAGCTAAGACCTAGACATCTTTTGAGTACATACCAGCAAGTAAGTCCTTGACTCCAAAAGGAAGATGAGCTTCAGCTTCACTTCATCTAACAATCTACGTACATCAAACACAGTCCCAAGACAAAACAGACTGACTGCAATGTAACGCAGCCAAGTCAGATTTTCCATGGAACAGCACCACAACTTTCAACCCCCAAGTATTCAAGACAGGAGACCATTACTCAGATCAACACCACCACACAACACAAAACTAAGACTAAGGTATGGTAAAAACATTTTTAATTACATCAATTAGTATTGCTGGTTTTCAAGTGAAAGCGTGAAAAGAGTCAACAGCACAAATCTGCATGCAGGTTAAGCTAGAGATATCCCTTCTATCGTCGTCATCATCAATCTATTTTCACCAGTAAAAGCAAGTAATTCTGCTTTTGAACAAAACGAACCATACACGAGTAAGGACCATACATTCTAAAAATAGCAGGATGTTCTGACTTGCTTTCTCCGACACATTACTTCGTGCTGAAATGTAAAGCCTGTATTAGATACAGGTTCAGTTAAACACAGAAAATACTAAAGAATTACGTGATTCAAGACTTTAAAACTTACTTGAGTAGTTCGTAATTCTTCTCGTTTAGTCTCACAGCATTCTCCCTCCAAAACTTCTCAGACTTGTGTACAGGACTCCACTCCAGTCTTCCTGACTTGAGCTCAGAACTGTACTCATCGAAGGAGCTGCAACACAGAAGACCCAAATGAAATGTTGGCTAAGCTTCTGCGAACAGAGTTTGAACCACGTGCCCAAGCCTGTCCCGAGCAAGACAAAGCTGGAGCCCAACTTGCCATGGCACATCTGGAAGTCAGCTCTGCAGAACGTGAGAACTGTTCCCTGTCTCAGAGTTCAACACTTTAAAAATAAGGAAAGGCATGAAAGGCAAGAGAAAAATTTGTTTTCAAACATACCGCTCCATCTACCCCAAAACACAATCCCTGAAGGAAAAAAAAAAAAAAACAAAACAACAGAGGAAAACCCCAAGTCACACAAGCACAGCATTTGGGAATTTAATTGACCAATTTGCCTGTTTTCTAGGTTTTAACATCCCCAACCAAGGATCCCAGTCCTTGTCTTTCACCCAGTTAAAACCTTTGACATGAACTGCAGCAGATCAATTTATGCACAAGAGCAAGAACCAGGTAAACACTAGCAAAAACTTCAGTTAATCTGGACAGCAAAATGTTTTCTAACCAGGTAGTCTTCAGCTTAGACTGGAACTCTTACAAGATGCCTCCGAAGTCCTTTAACAATTTATTAGTTACGAAGATCGTGTATCCAAAAGGAAAGATTTATTTTCTGCTTAGCCTGTAAATGCTCACTTAGAATAGGAAACCTTTATACACAACCAGCACCTCTGCACGCTCTACCTTATCAACTAGCATTTACGTAGCATAAATCTGTGTATTTTTTAGCCTTAAAAAGAAAAGTTTTACCAATGTTTGTATAATTGCATTTTTTAAAGGTCACACTGCAAAGCATACCTAAGGTCCTGCACGCTCTCACCAAGCTTGTCCAGTAGAAATTTTATATCTTCACTTATGTCTTCATCATCATACTTCTGCTGATCCAAATTCTCCAGCTGCTTTAGAACTTTACACTGAATCATGGCAAGAGCATATTCTTGGCGAGTTTCTCTCTCAGTAGATTTCTCTAACAAATTCTAGGGAAGCAAAAATGTATTTGATTAAGAACAGACTACTTTGAAACAAAGTGGCACATTTAAGAAATTCTTATTGACACTTTTCAATTTAGCAAGTGACAGAATCGACCACTTCCTGAAATAATCCCTCCAAAGAAGTATGAGTCTACCGCACAGTGGCTGCTGTACACCTACATTTAGGAGCATAAATTGCCTAGGAGGATTATTCATACCTATCCCTACAACAGATGAAGAGAAACTTAAAAAAAAGGCTCTATCTTGCAAGGTAAGAAGTAGTAATGCAACCGTATGTGCTGAGAAGCACAACCACCACTGCATTCAAGTTTAGGTCACTTAGACCTTTTTCCTCTTAGATGGTAGGCTACCTTCAATGCTAGAAAGTATTAATTCACCTGCTTTGATCATTTTCCACATCAAATCAGGCTGACTGCAAAGACTATTCCAAGAAAAAGAGCAGGCTTATACCCCAAATCCCAGAGTCTCTGCCATAAACAACTACTTTTATCTGGGATTATCATTTCAGTTTTCTGTGCAGCAATAGGATAAAGCAGGAAAGCAGGAAAAAAAAAAGAAAAAGAAAAAGAAAACAAAACCAAAACAAACCACCTGAAATCATCTTTCCAGCTCAAGAGTTACCATCTGGATTAGAACAGGTTCTTTGGAATTCAGGAATATTCCAACTACACATTTTTGTTCAAACAGAAGCTTGTTGGTAAGACTGGAATTACAAGCAATAGTCAAGTTCCAATGTCATTTACTCATTACATTTCTACTCAATTTAATTAGCTTCAAATTATGTAGTTCAGAGCCAGACACCTGCAACTCTTTGATAAAGCTGAAACCACAAATCTCATATAAAACAAAGTCCTTAACAAACAGAACATGTGCTCATATAACTAAGCCTTAACATCTCCCAGAAGTAAGAAATGAAACCATACAGAAGGAATTTGACTGCATCCCTCTCATTCCTGTCAAAGAACTACTACATTTAAGGTTTCTAAGATATCAGACATCATATTACTGAGGCAGAACACTGCAAATAAACGTGACATATGGAAAACAAGTCAGAATACTGCTTTAATGGCCACATACAATTAGATTTAATGTGCAAAAAAACCCTGTTTCTATTTCAGTAAGAGAACTGAGAAGTTAAAGGTAATTCACAGAAAGTAATGCTAAACTAGTTCAGAGTTAAAAGTGCTAATGAGAGCAAAAGAATAAATAATGAATCTTAAAAGACAGGAATACAACAAGTTCAAGGAGCAGGTAGATAAAGTTTCCAAAGAACTCCTGGTTAAGAGAATTATAGGCAGATGTGGAAGGTACTCCAAATATTATTACCTATCTTATACCATAGTGAGATATCGTGAAATTGAAAGGATACGTTAGGAAAGTACAAAAGTACAAACACATGACTAAATAGAATGAATCAGTAAACTACTCAGTGAAAAAAATATCTTAAAGGTATAAAATGAGTTACAGGTAGGAGAGAGACACAGAAGACAATAAAAGTATGAAAAATGAGGAAAAACCATTTTAATAGGTAAAGAGAGAAAGCAATTCCTTCAAAGCAGACAGAAGTACCTAATACTGTTGTTTTACAGAAAAATATTACAATTGCATACTTCAGGCAATTAACTTGCTGAAGAGGTGAAACAGGTCAAATCAGGAGAAACTGGGTAGTAGAGAAGACGTACGCAAGTTGTCAAGACTCACGGCGTACCTTCAGGAACGCACAGAGAGCAGGGACGATTTGGGGAAATCATCAAGCCCAGTCCTTTATGCAAGACAGCTATTATTTTTTCTTCCATGAACTGATACTGTGGCCTCCCACAGGAAAAAGGCTATTTTGCCTCTGCTACCTATTTTAATTTTGCTTCAGAACTCACAGGTCTGATTTCTAATCTATTCTTTCCCGGCTGCCAGTTTATAACCTCATTTTCATGCCAACACTAGCCTTTAATGTTAGAGAAAGAAAACAGCTAAGTTAATTTCCCCGAAGCCTGTAACAGAACCATCTTATTCTTTCTTAGCCTTTATTTATTAAAAGAACTCGGCTTCATTTTTGTCTCCCCTTGCAAAGAACACTAAATCTAAGAACGAGCAATTATTTCTCCGACTTCTTATGCCCTCAGAATTGGAAGAAGTTGAATACAGACTGCTGAGCCCCCAATTTCTTGTTTTCCCCAAGCTGTCTTGCTGTACATCCCTGCTTAATCCTAACATTAAGATCCTAAAAATCACCAGACGCCTACAGAGGTCTACATAGTAAGGACAGTCCCTACTGAAGACCTTGCATCACTGACTCAGGATAAATAGCATGTTCTCATCATCTACCTCATTCTTCAGAGTAGCAGATGCTTTTGGCTAAAGAGACCATTTAAGCCACAGAGTAAGCGCCTTCACACAGCTTGTTGCTGCTGATCAGCAAGTCGGTAAGCAGCAATACCCCTCTCCCCATCCTCATTTATTTGCAACATCTACTACTGGAATTCAACCAGTACCCAGGAAAATTCCAAGACCTACGCCTCCTACTCAGGACACAAGTCCTGTCTTAGAACAGGATCACAAGACCTGTATCACGCACAAGACCCTTGACAAGCACGCACATAAAACTACATGCACAGGCACAATTAGCACCCGTGAACACAAGCTCATACTCTCACAACGCAGACATCAAGCCTCGGTGCTTAGTTATTCCCAACTATCATAAATCAGGCCAGTGATTTTCAGGTAACGTGGACACAGTACGTCAACTAATAACTCACGCAGATATCCCCATTCATCTTGATAGAGCCACCAAGAAAATGCTTTTGGACTAGTAGTTCAAAATAATTTCCAAGTCCATCAGTTGGACAAACAGATGTGTGTCTAAAATAATATATTTTTTTAATTAAAGTGCCATAAAGCAAAATTGATCAGGTATTAGTAACTCCATTGTTTTACACTAGCACCAGTAGAAAAAAGAACTTTGAACTAAAGAAGGGAAACAACTAGTGCCCGTGTTAACACAGGTTCTTTAGTTAACCTTATCTTAAGAAGACATTGAATCTATCACCTGTAGCAAACTTCAGCTCTCAAAAAAGGAGGGGATACTGGTACGGCCTAGCAGAGACAGCTCTGCATCAGCAGCATCTGAGAACTACTCATCTGAGAAAGACAGTGCGACTGCAGGCAACAGACACTTACCCGAAATGCTGCCAGGATGATTCTAGTCACTTTCTCTTTGACAGACTCCTGAAGAATATCCGATAGCACTGGAACAATATTATACCGGCGGAGATATTCACACATTTGAGGGCTGAATGCCAGCAGCCACACACAGAAAATCATCTGGTACTGGAGCTGGAAGCCGCATTTGTTGCTCAAGACCCCCATGATACTGAAAAATTAACATAGTATACATTTGATTTTTAAATAATGACTGCATAGATTGTACTGCACCACCCTGAAACATTAAAAGAAATGGTTAGCAGGAACTTATTGGGAAGAGCTGCTGAGGGTAAGTATACAACACGTGCGTCACAGCATCCTGCACCAGTATTTCTCATTGTACAAGGAGCTTGTTCAGAAGCCATCATTTAAAGATATAGTTATTTCCTCCTTAGCGTTACAGCTATAAAGCAGCTTCTTCCATGTGACCTGATGTGGTACCGTATCCGTTTCCAGGCTCACCAACACTCTTTTTCTAGTGGCATGTTTAGAGCATGAATTCTAGGAGAAACAGAGAAACACATGGTGGATCTTAAAGGTCTTTTCCAACCAAAATGATTCTATGATTCGATGAATCTTCAGAGTTAAGAAAGAGAAGAAGCAAACAGACAGCACAAAATCTACACAAGTTGAACTTGTTTCCTTAATTGCACCTCTCCACAGGAGTGCCCAAAATGAGCTGAAGTACTTGTTATCTAAGTGAGTTCTCAGAAAACAGCTTATACATGTAACACACCACAGACATACAGAGCACTGCCAGAGAAGAAATAATACCATAAGATCTCCAAGAAGAAACCATGCAGAAGCTTTGTTCAGCTGAAGTTTTGAAAATTCAATAAGGAATTTACAAGTCCATTCCAAAAGAGCTAACCCCATTAAAAAAAAAAAAAAAAAACCCACACCAAAAAAAAACCCCACAACACAAAAAACTCCAAACTACTTTCAAGATCATTGCTAACAAAATTAAGACAAATTCAAACTTGTTGAAACACAGGCTTATTGTCATGCTTTAATAGTTTATTAAACTTATTTTCACCAAGGCTCCTCGGTGAAGAAGTTTGTTTCAATAGCGTCATCCTGACACACGTGAACATCTTTCGAACTCTCGCTTCACTGGCAACTTTGACTTTTCTCCATTTCAGAGTCCAAGGGTATTTTTTCTTAAAGCACAAATTGTATGGCCACCGTCCCCAATGGAGGCAGGCAGAGCAGAAAGTTACTTACAGACAGGCATTCTTTAAATACGATGAGTGACAGCATCTTAGCCTCATGAATAGCTATTTATGAGGAGAATCTGGACAAAAGAATGACCTACTTGAAGCCATAGGTGGAAAAAAAAAAATTGAGCTTAGCTCTAGAACACAATTCTCCTTTCACTAATATTTTCAGACTGAACAACTCCAAACTGACAGACAAGGAAGACGAGCATAAACTCATTTTGTCAGTCCTTATTCTGTTAAATGAAAACCGGAGCACCTTCAGCTGAAGACAAATGGCTGTATTCTCCTTCAGATATCTATTGAAGCAGTTCTTCATGAAGAGTTAAGTAGCATTAAAGCCTCAACATTGGTACTTATATCTGCAAGCTCAATTTCTCTGTTTGCCTGTACTAATGTTTGAAAACAAAGAGGTTTTGTACTCAAGCAGAGCAGCTGTCTTTTGCCAGACAGTTCTATTCCAGAAGTAGTCACTGGGGAACATGTTAAGTGTGACTATATCCATATAAACTGAAATAAATGCTCACCAATTTACTCCATCTGCTTCTACCCACGCAAAGCGATATTCATTGACCCTGAGCATCAGCTGCAGGCATCCGGCAACACACTGCACATACTGGGAACTCTGGTGAAAAGAAGAACACATCACTTCTTACAAGAAGAGTTAGGTAGTAAGTGCTGAAGTTCAGTTTTCCAAACCAGGCTTAACGGGCACACTTCACACATTTCTTCAATGACACGTCTGAGTTAAACAGGCTCACCCTTTACCTCTCCCTATCTAAAAAAAAAAAAAGATACCATTTTACATCACCATAACAGATTTTTACAGCCCATTTGAACATGCCTTCTTTCAGCATCTACGAACGAAGGCTGTCTTCTGTTTGATTATACTGCCAGAGCCTGTTCAGCCACAGAGCCAACTCTATTGAGCAAACTTTGGGAAGTAAATCAGCAAACTGGTTACCAAGCTTGAAGAAGTTTGCTAGAGGTCACTGTAGAAAAAGGATTCTTGGGCTCAGGTTCTTCCCACTCCCATTCTCCAACTCAAAAGGGCAGTGGTGTCATTACATTTGTGTATTTTCCTTCTTACGCATGTGCCACACGGTCATACCACGCATATCACAATGAGATGTTTATTTATACAGAAAAAATACAATTAGAAAAACGAACTGTACAAAGTCATCCTCAAAGTCTAGCTTTGCATTTTAAATTTTTGTTCTTTTCATTACAAGCTTAGCACCGTATACCGTGCTAAGAAAAGAACAAGACGGCTACAACTTTCCCATCAGGAAAACACTGAGACATGCGCCACCGAATTCTGTCTTCATTCAGACTCTTACATGAATAATCACAAGGACAGAATCATCAAACAGCTTTTTGTCTCTAAAAGCACTTAATGTGTTAGTACTTAGAAGATTGGCTGCAGTTCCAAAACGGGTATTGGTCAACCCATTGTCCCCTCCCACTACAGCAATGGGAAGATCCCAAGGTACAACAGAACTGTCGGGTTTCTTCTCTCTTTTCCTCAACTTCTGGCGTTATCTCCACTAATACTCAGAGATGCTGCTGATAAAATGTTGGCATTTTTTTTCCTATAAGCCTTTTCCTTTACTAAGTGTCTTGAAAGTCTGATGATAGATCACTCACATAACACAAGGTCAAACCTTTCAAACATTTCACAGAGGAAAGAAGTTAAGCAATCCCACATGAAGAGGAAAGAGAAGAGACAATAAACAGAATTTAAAATAAAGATTAATTAATTCTGTGTCTGTCATCAGAGATTACGTAAAAAGTAAGTCTGAACACCTAGGCTCAAATCATCATGGAGAACATTCATTTCCTTGGGTAGGTATTCACTCTCACACACCATGCAAATAAACCAGCTATACACACACACAGACAGCCTCAAAAAGCATATTCATTTTTCTGCATCACCAACCTGTGTACGACTGAACTTGGAGTTTTCTTTGTAAAAGAGTCTGCGATAAAAGCATTCTTTTCCAACACTATTATAATTGACATTTCACAATAAATCCCAGCCCTCATTTCCTGTGTAAAATGCTACAACTGCATCCCTAATTTACTCAGAAATGAATTAGTTAGGACCTGCCTGGCAATCCTGCACAAGCCAGACCTGACATCAGAACAGTAACCAAGTCAAGACAACACTTACCCAACTGCGTTACCCTGGAACGTGCCTGCGCTACCAGTTCTGCCGCTTTGGGACCCTGCGGCAGTACGGCACAGCCACGCAGCGCTACAGGACAATGCCTCCGGATTTCTCAGCAAGTTACAAGAGCTCACAGCTCCACGAGGAGTGGTGTTGCATGCTGTGGAACTATTGACTCTTTTCAGGTTACGTGACCGAGGGCTGTCAGCCTAACAAAACCTGATAGTATGGCACGCAGAACTGCACATGAAACACTGAAATACTTCAGCTTCTACGCTCTGGCCGTAATTTTACCCCCTAACCATGGTCACGCACGACAGCCTTTCATCTTTTCTATTTTAAACCCCAGTCAGGTGGAAATTTAAGAGGCTTTTCTCTACAGGAAGCCAATGCTTTAAAGCAATGACTACATTTAGAAGAAAAACAAATTCCAGGTTCGTATTTAAGTCTTCTGAAAAGGCTGTGAACACTTTCAGGTTGCAAAAGCAACAAAGGACCGAACTGCCTTCTACTCCACATCCAAAAGCTACAATAAACCACCTCGTGCCGCAACAGAACAGAAAACCCACTTACGGTGATTGCTCGCGTTTGCTAAGCTGCCGCAGCTCCTCTCCAAGCTCAACAGCCGTTACAGCTACATGGAACTCGGTATAAATAAATAAATACTGACGCAAAAAGGACAATCCATTTTCCCTTGAATTCCAGCTATTCAAATACAAAAACCTTACAGCTTCGAAAGCACTTTTGTCATTTCATGCCACAGAGGTTGAGGGGCGATGGTAGCTTTAACATCTGACGTGCCCCAAGTTCTGCACATCACAAGAGCCAAAAGCTTCTTAGTCTCAGGTTTCTTCTACAAGTCTGACAGTTCAGTGCTAAACAGACAGTATTGTTCAAATATTAAATTAATTGCATATATTTTTTTCCAGTTTTAACAAGGAGAATGCTACAGTTTTAACAACCCAAACCAACTTGTAAAATACACACTTCCACTGCCAGCGTTTTCTGTGAAATCAGGATTTTAAAAATACTTTTGTTTCTTGGCGCCATCACCTGGCACTCTGTTGTCGCACAGTTCTGCTTCCAAGTACTTTCTATTACTGACACCAGAACAGTTCTGCACCTTAATCCGAGGAGCAGACACCACCTGCCCAAAATAGCAAATTAACAGATCTCAAAGACATACTCACATCACTTGTGGAGACTGCTCCTGCTTCCACAGAACCCCCCGTACCACGTAGTTTCTAGCAAAAACATAAAAGTTTAAAATCAGAGCTGTCCTTCACCCTTACAGAACCGTTGTTACCAAGCTTCTTTCAATTCTCCAGTCTCTCTAGTCATAAAAAGAAAAGATTAGGAATCCATTAGATACTTTTCCTGCTCAATATATTATGATCGTATATTTATTTCACGCACACACACCACCATGTCTAGAAGAATATGCTTGCAGCTGATCCTGGTGTATCAAGATTTAGGGTGCTGGGTTTGGGGTGGGGTTTTTTGGGGGGTTTTAAGTAATTAATTTATTTAAGTGTGGATTTACTCAAGACTTTTATCCATCTTTGTATTAGAATTTGAAAATTGTTCTCTTGACTCTTTCTGAAGAAAATTCCAAGTTTAAAATTCTTCTTCCAGAGAAAAAAAAAATAAACCTCCTTTTTAATAAGCACAGTTTGGAAAACTATGAAAAATATACTGTTACGAAACCTACTGAATGCTTCTCTGCTCTCCAGAATCCACTTCTGCTACAACACCACCTTAAAGAATGACAAATCACTGGGGTTTGATAAGGATTGAAGGGAAAATCTCCAAAAATGAATGCAAAGGAGAATGATTTACCTTTGAAGGACAATCAAGCAGTAAGTATTTCATACTGAGCTAATGACATAAAATTACTGTCCAAATAAGTCAGGATTTATTTAGTTTCAAGAAAGAGGACTAAAAATAAAAGTTTTGTACCACAGTAAACTTGAAAAAAGTTTTGATATTCACATCCTGCTGCCATGTGATTTTTCTTCCCAGCAAAAAGCTCTGAGAAACAAAACAATACAGGGAGACACAAAAACCCTCATCACATGATTTCTCAGCATCCAGAAGAAAAACTGATGTTAACCAACAGAAAAGGCAAATGTCTTATCTTTTATTTTTAATTTACATTTCAAGGACTAAATTGGAAATTATATTTTCAATATAAAATTATATTATTTTAATAATATTAAGGTAAAAACTATGTGTTTGAACAAAGAATATTTAGCTTTAAAAATGACAAAGTAAAATTTCATTTTAAAAAAAGAAAATCAACAATATACCTCTTGTTTGTGCATCTATATAATCGTATTTCTGAAAAAAGCTTTCAAAGCACTGTAAGGTTTCAATAGAAGCAGCTTTTTACCTGTGAACTGAGCTGAGTTTTAATCCAGTTGAAATAGTAGTTCAAGTCACTGCCTTCCATAAGTTCCCTCCCCCAAGCAGCCAGTTTGGCAATAATTCTTGCTGCCTGAAAAAGAAGGCAATAAACAGATTTTTTTCAAACGTAGCAATTCCAGGATTCAGTGAGAAGCTCTATAAGCTCTGGAGACCAAGTTTAGGTAAAAGCTGGCCCCTTACAGAAATCTAAACATTTTCTCTGTAGGGGACTCTTGACACCTAGTAATTTCATTTCCTCAGCCTTCTGCTGCTACTACTTCCTAGTAACTGGTGTATTTTCACCATGTTGTCAAATACCTGTAGCTAATGAAGTTCACAAGGCACCAACGAAGAACTCAGAAGGGGTGGAGGGGAGCTATAACGGGCTACTGCTGTAGGACAGTCAGAAATCCATCAACAGCAAGACACTCAAGACATGAGCCACTGACTTGACTCTGCCATACAACACCAGCAGCAACATATGCAGGGAAGAACGATTCATAGCCGTGCAGCTTTCTCCCTCTTCATGCCATCATACAAGTTTTACTGGTGGAAATGATGGTCTCCATTAGGAATTTACAGTCATACAACTGTATTTTTCCCCGCAAGTAAAAAACCCTTCTGAGATGAAACGGCCAGTTCTCACCACAGATGATGGAAGAATAGTAAGAATTCCACAAAAGCTACTCCATATACACCAGCAGCACCCAGTGCCTCAAAGCACAGCAAATACCGTACAAAGCACATGGTTGTACTGGGTTCGGCTGGGATGGACTTAATTTTCTTCATAGCAGCCCATATGACACTGTGGTTTAGACTGGTGACCAGAACAGTGCTGACAACATCCCAGTGTTTTAGCCGAGCAGTGCTTGCACAACAGCAAGGACTTCTCTGCTTCTCACTCTACACTTCCAGTGAGTAGGCTGGGGGCCGGGGGGGGTG